CGATGGTCGTGCCAGGGTTAGAAGGCGACGTGGTGAAAGGAGGAATCCACAGTTTTTTGTTGAAAGACATGTTCATCACACTGTTGGAGTTATGGTTTGGGGTGCTATAGCTTATGGTTCCAGGTCACCTTTAATCTTCATCAGAGGTAACATGAACGCGCAGCGATATATCCACGAAGTTCTAGAACCCCATCTTTTACCCTATCTTGACACCCTGGCAGATCCAACTTTCCAACAAGATAATGCCCGACCACATGTTGCAAGAGTCACAATAGACTTCTTTCAACATAATGATGTCACATTGTTACCATGGCCACCAAGATCTCCCGACTTATCCCCAATTGAGCACGTGTGGGATATGATGGGTAGGAGATTGCTCAATTTGCAACGTCCTCCTCAGACTCTAGAAGCACTTCGAGAGGAGTTGGTAGTTGCCTGGAATGAGATACCACAGGAGGACATTGACCAGCTGACCAGAAGCATGCCTAGGCGCGTTGGAGAATGCGTAGCACATCAGGGTGCATTCACATCAGGTCAAAGGGCTTTAAAGCAGTGCAATCATTTTAAATTTTTATCATTTACTTATTATGCTTCATTAAGCACTTATACAAAATTTTATTACAATAAAACCATTTAAACTGGGTGTTCGGATTTATATGTCACTTAGTATATTTTTGGTATCATCTAACCGTTGCAATCAGTGCACAAACAGTGTGACATTTTAAATTTTCATTTGCATTTTTTCAAGTGTTGTGCAATGATTTTGGGAAAAATTTCACAAATAATCTTATAAAGCATAGTAGTAGTAGTATATTTCAACAGTTGGCGTAACTTACTCCACTGGGTCCAGGAGGATAAAACGGGATATTAATGCACAATCTGGCAACCCTGTCGCACCCTCACAAAATGGCCGCTGACAACCACACAAGTCACCGTGTTGTGATTGAATAGCATGGAATTAAACCTTCAGAGCATATATGTTTTGTGACTGGTACCAAGAGTTGACAGATCCCACACATGTGTCACTCCTTGGAATGCAATAATCAGCTGTATTCAAATAATGTCTAATATATATATAACCTAGAATGTGTACTCGTGAAAAAAGAAAAATATGGCAAATTTGTAGTTTTTTTTGCAGGTTTTATAGGTTTGGTGGTAGCTTTAAGGCATATATTTGGGAATTTCTTAATCGCTGTGAATATAGTGTGGATGTTTGTTCAGTTCCTGACCAACCAAAAATATTCAACTTTATGGATATATGGATATCAAAAAACCTGAATGGTTTTGTGGGAATATCAATCTAAGGTGCCATAATGGTTCTGATGAACGGCAAGTAAATTAATGAATGTTTGGAAACGAGCAATATCTTTTTGTAGAGCCTGTCATCAAGTAGGTGCTTTTGGCTATCTGCAAGAGGTTTATAGGAAATAACACCCAGTATCAGTATTTGAAGAAAATAATATAAACATGAATACAAAATCAACAATAGTAATTAAAACATGAATTTAATTCAGAAATCAAACATTTCTTAAAATTTTGACTGAATTATATGTAATTTCTTAATATTCAATAAACTGGCAATGACAAGTTGTCATCTCATACTTTGACAGTATTTTGTTTTCAACATTTCATAGCTATTGGTTGTTAAAATTTGTTGATTAGAACTTGAAGCTCATTCGCTGTATCTGACGATCTGTTACCCTATAGGTGGAGCATAACGGACTGTTGTTGGTGAAATTGGGCCTAAATATGTTTAATTTCTCTGTCCAACATGCCCGTAGCTCAATCTTTTCTAAAAGGATTTGAATTGCGCAGAACTTAATCCTTTATGAACTGATGCCGGCGTTGCATAAGCAGTGCAGAGTCAAACCACTCGACGCCATTTTTTAAATTAAGTATTTTTTGTAATGGAGTCAGAGAAACCTTATTTATGAATGTAAATTGTATCATAAACTAAAACATGAACATATTTTCAATTTTCAACATAATCACCTTTTAACATAATTTGTCAAGTCGTTGCATCAGCTTTCAGATCTCGTCACCAATGAACGCTGCCGCTTGACCGCTGAACCAGTTAATAATTGCTTCTTTCACATGTCATCATTTCTCTAGCGCTTTTTACCAAAAACTTCCTTAAGTTTTGAAAAAAATGGAAGTTTGAACTGTATGGTGGACGATCCAGCAATTCGCAACGAAACTGGTACAGTTGCGTCTGTTCTTGCCGCAACGTGAGGCCGAGCGTTGTCGTGGAGAAGAGTGACTCCGACAGGAGGAACTTTTTTGCATCTAAAAAGTGAATTACTGAGCGCACTTCACAATCGGCGGTTTTTCTGATTCACATGGCAACAAATGCAGTATAGTCACACAACACACAACCAATACCAATAGAGACGTGTCTGAAGTTGAACGGATCTCACGTGACAGGATGCGCGGGCACGATGCGTAATCGGTTCTTACTTTTAGGACGCCCCTCGTATAAATATCGTATAACTCGCATGTAGGGATTATCAGATCGTATTTTGACAATATAATTATAGGTAATGTTGGAGACATATGGGCGTTAGCTTTTTGGTCAAGGGGTGGTGTATTTCCTGACCACGGGGGGTGTGTAATTAGGTGAAGGGCGTGGCTGCAACCACACTTCCCGCACTCATCAGTGTCAAGCGGTTACGAATGCACCATGTCGCGACATTGGTACGCCCACCACTTTCGCTAAATACCTAGTAGATGTGGGAACGAATGTCAAGAGAGCAGAAGTAGCTATCGACACGTTACAAATAGAAGCATAACACATCGTCTAAAAGTTTTACAGTTTTCAACTAATTGATGAAGAATTAATCAATAAAGTATAAGTCGCAACACCTGATATATACAGTATGGGAAAAACCATTATTATAAATTATGATGAGGAAGAGAGATGGAAATATACAAAAGTATGTAGGTGCGTGAAAGACACTCGATTGTAGGATCTTATCTGGCAGCGTCGGAGTGTGACGGACAACGGGGTAAAGTAGAAGAGTGATAAAAGAGAGAGATGGCAGAACGGCCGCTGGCGCCTACCGCTTAGACGGATGCGCTCAACAAATGCGATTTGTTTCTCCCATTCACAGAGTTGCCGATACCAATATGTCATATTTCTAAGAAATCTAAGTCTACCCAAATTTCGGGAAAAATAGCTGCGGATTCCACATAAGAGTATTCCAAAAATGAAAAAAGTTCAAACTGTATTAATGTTTCATGGTTCAAATCATATTTTTCATGTTTGTATATTGTTGTATAAATGATTTTGTAATCCCTATTCTTGTTGCCAGTAGAGATACAACAGTATTGAGAGAAATCATGGACCGCTCGATAGAGCTACAACTACCATATGACTATCAAATAGTAGTGATAAACAGGGTTTGTTTATAGCACAGTTGCCTGGTGTGGCGAATTTGCGCCATAGGGGCGATTTGACAACTTTGAAGGACAACTATAACGGTTACTATGGTGCCCGGTATTCGGGAATCTGGCAATACCTGATGATTCCTAACGTTTATTACGCCAGATTGTTTGCTGACTTGCGCAGTACAACATGACAATCAACGTGACTGAGCACCTGGTAACCCTGGTTTAAGGTGTTATATTTAAAGAGCTTGGGGCAGTTAGGTATCTAGGTCACATTTTTTAATGTATTTCGAGAAATCCGTAATGTTGAGTAAATACTAGATCACGTTTCTTTCTTAGTTTGCTGAAAATTCTACAATAGACGTACATTTTGAGAAACAGAGATTTGGTGACGACAAAATCGTAAAAATATAACATTTTCGTAAAATAATTTCTTTATTGAAAAGACTGTGGCTTGATGACCCATTGAACGAGTATAGTGTCCCGCTCCGCTTTGAATATTCGAAACACTATACTCCAGCAGCATTCAGCTTCAATGTTATCTTTATAAAGTTCTAACGTCTAGGCCATGCTGATTAAAAGCTTGAATGAATCAACACTTAACTCTAAATTCCCCACAATTCGGGAAGCTCTACTCAAATCGGCAACACAGCGTATCTGCCTATTATTCTCATTCGTGATACAGGTCTGCGGTTAACGGTAGGAAATATGTACGAATAGCGATGAAAGTAGACGAGCCGATGCGCTGTTGCCAAGAAATGATTTCCCATGTATAACATTGGTTTTTCCTAAGGTGTATATCCTGTTGAACATGGTGTGCCTCACGTATCTGTACTGAGACCATTACTGTTCAACTTATACGTAAATGATTTCCTCAGTCAAATCTCTGAGGGACATCAAGGGCATATCTAGGAGGGGGGGACAGCTGCCCCCCCCCCCTTTTCCCTAGGTCGGCAAAAATTAAATGGAAAGAACATTTTTTACAAAATATAAATAACTCATATACAGGGTTCTCCACAAGCTGAATCAATGTCTATTGGACGAGAAATTACTAGAATTAGTTGAAATCTATGTTAGATATAAACTTAACTTTACTAAAAGCACTATCTATATATGTTACATGTGTTTCAAATTCCAGCCTCGACTTTGGAATTTCGGAAATGTTAATGCGAATGTCATACGATCAGTATTTACTATGTACGTCAATAATAATACTGACGTCAATAATAATACTGACGTCCAGGCTACACAGCCAATAAATATCAGATCCCATGTGAGATATATGACGTGGAGTACTTTATGGTTGCAAGTTGCGTGGTAAATAAAAAAATGGGAATTGGACAGTTTGGAAATTCAAAGTATTCCCGAATTTACTCTAAGTGATTTATATTTTTTCCTGGCAAACATCCAGATTGTCTACAAATTTCAAACAAATTACAGTAATAACATTACCACTTTTCTACACGGTGACATAATTAGAATTTCGATATAACGTTTCGGCTCTCAGTTTTTTAAATTTCCTCGTGAACGAAAACAAAGAATTAATCAGATCTTTTGATTTCTTGAGTAGCCAGTGGGAAGAGGAAAGGAAAAGGTCCAAGGTATTGGAAGAGATGGTTGGAGATTTATCCAAGGAGGACCAAATGCTTAGGAAAGATGTTGATGGATTGAAACTTACTCTTAACCAAGAGGAATCTAAAAGGTTGGTTAACAATTTGCCTATTACCGGTCTTGTTACTGAAAATGATGATAAAGAGCAAGCAGTGCAGAAAACTTTGGCTTTATTTTCTTTTCTGGATACACCTATCTCTCGGAATGATGTAGCTCATTTTAAACAAGTTCCAACCAAAAACGGCGTAAAGGCTATAGTTACCTTGAAGCCTGAACATAAAAAGCAGATTCTTACAACTCGTTCCAAAAAAGGGAAACTAACACTTAGGAACACTAAATGTGGTGATGCGGATTCTAGAATTTTCGTCGATGAGTAGCTGACCAAGGAAACGTACGAGTTATTCAAACACTCAAGGCAACTTAAGGGTGTTGGCTACAAATATGTGTGGCATCGAGAGGGAAAGATTCTAGCTCGCAAGAATGATGGCTCTGATATTATTTTCATCCGGAATGTTAATCAAGTAAATGACCTACTTAAGTAGCCTTTTATCTCATTTGCTTTGATTGTTTTTTATATATATTTTCCATTTGTTGCTTGATTTTTATAATTTATCATGGCTAGTACGAATCTTGAAAATAATTTAAGGATAGGACATATTAATGTACGATCACTGATACCAAGTTTGAACGAAATTAAGTCTTCGATAGATAATTTGAAGTTGGACATATTAGGAGTAACTGAATCATGGTTAACTGAACAAGTTAGTGAACAGGAAATTGAAATAAACAATTTTAAGTTTTATCGCGTTGATCGTGGGTCTCGGGGAGGTGGAATAGGGGTTTATGCTCGATCTGATATTACAGTAGTTGAGATAGATGTAACTGAGGACCAGACGGGAATTTTTGATCAGCAATGGCTTATTCTCAAAATTGGCAAAATAAAATTGGGGTTGGGCATCATTTACCGTCCTCCTCGTTTTAATGTGATGACTGCTTTACTGGAAGAATCAATAGCTAATTTAATTCCAGTGACAGATGAATTGATTATAATGGGGGATATTAATACTAATATATTAAGACATACTAACATAACCAAATCAGTTTAATAATTTGCTTGATACTTTCAACTTCAAGCAAGTTGTAATTAACCCAACTAGGTACTCCCGAGACTCATGTCCGATGATCATCTCTTAAGTGGCAGTGTCCATCATCAGGACTTGCATCAGCATTCCGATCATCAGCTCATACACTGTTCAATAAATATTAAGATCTCTGCCGTTAGGCCTAGAGTTATTAAATATCGTAACTTTAAACACTTTGACATTTATAGCTTCAAACAAGATCTTATAAACTTCCCTTGGTAGCAGGTTGTAGACTGTGATAATGTTAACCAGAAGACTGCAATTCTCTCAGATGTGATATTGACTCTTTTTGATTCTCATGCGCCAATATGTGAGAAAAAAGTTACCAGGCCACCTTCTCCGTGGTTTACTGATGCGTTGCATGCGATGAAGAATCACCGTAACTATCTTTTCTCTAAATACAAACGTAATAAAAATTTACGGGATTGGGCATCCTACAAAGAAATGAGGAATTTTTTTACGTCAGCTGTTCGACAAGAAAAGAGAGCTTATATTGATTTTATCAGTCGTACTAAAAAATCCAAAGACATGTGGAAGACACTAGACCAACTTAATATCTATAACAGATCTAAAAAAAATATAGAAATTCCTAACCATCTTAAAAACCCAAATTTAATTAATCAATATTTTATCGACTCGGTGCGACAAATACCTAGCACTGTCGATACGAATACTATTTCTAAATATCTTAATTCCAAATGTACAACCGCAGAATTTGAATTGAAACTCGTTAGTGAAGATGGCGTTTTCTGGGCAATATCGGAGATTGGGTCAAACGCCTCTGGTGCAGACGGAATTAGCCTTGACATGGTGAGGTTGTGTTGCCCAACGATCTTACCCTTGCTGGTTAACCTATTTAATTCCTGCATACAAAAGGGCATCTTTCCTGCCCAATGGCGAACGGCTGTGATCCTGCCGCTGCCTAAAATTAGCAGTCCTAAGGATGTCTCTGATTTGCGACCAATTAGTATACTACCAGTGCTGTCTAAAGTATTTGAAAAGCTTATTTATAGGCAAATCATTACTTATTTCACAGATAATAATTTATTACCCAAGTTGCAGTCTGGATTCCGTAAAGGGTTTGGTACTACCACGGCTCTGTTGAAGGTTCTAGATGACATTCTTTTGGCTGCGGACAGGGGTGAAACTTCGGCATTGGTGTTGTTGGACTTCGATACCCTGAACCATGCATTGCTGTGTGCAAAACTTTTCTACTATGGATTTAAATTTAAGACTATTCAACTTATTCGTAGTTATTTGGATGACAGATCGCACTCGGTCTCAATTGATGGGCTTAAATCAGAACCCTTGAACGTAGATAGAGGAGTTCCTCAGGGATCACTTTTGGGTCCTTTATTTTTTATCATTTTTACTACTGATATGTCGAAGTGCTTTGGTGACATAAACAATCATAGATACGCTGACGATACACAGATTCAGCTTTCTTTTGTTAAGTCGGACGCAATTGAAGCGGCTAGGAGACTGAACGAGTGTTTGGATTCAGTTTTTAAATACTTTTTCAATCATGGCTTGAAATTGAATCCTAATAAATCAGCCATAATCTACTTTGGGCGTCTGTAAACTTGGTGATAGCAATGGATGGTGTGGCAATACCGGTTGTTGAGGAATATAAAAATTTGGGCGTTATCTTTGATAACAAGCTTAGATTCCGAAGTCATATGTCTAGGCTTCTACAAAAAGCCTATTTTAACCTTCGCAATATTTACAAAAGTAAAGATATTCTTAGTTTTAAGTTAAAAAAGGTTCTTTGCGAAGCACTGGTCTTGTGTCACCTTAACTATTGCAACTTTGTGTATGGTCCTTGCTTAGATGTATTTACTAAGGATACACTCCAAAAAGTGCAGAATTCTTGCATACGACTTATTTACCAGCTTAGACGTCACGATCATGTCAGTCATAAACTTTCCGAACTGAAATGGTTGAATGTTTCCAATCGAGAAAAGCTGCATTTTGCTTGCTTTCTTCATAAATTGATTAAAACTAAAAGCCGTCCATATCTGATTGAAAAATTAACTCGTAGAAATCTGATTCACTCTCGTGCAAAACGCTTTAATGTACTTTATGAAATACCTAAAATAACTAAAACCATGAATCAAAGCTCATTTTCCTATACATCACTCAAACTTCTAAACCAATACAATATAGGTCAATTTGAAGATATGTCTCCTAATATGTTCAAACGAAAACTGAAACAACTGCTTCTGTGAAGTATAAGTTGTTTATTATTGCTTATTTTCTTTGTATACCTACATCTGTAGTTATTATTGTTCATTGTTGTTATGTAATATTCTAAAATTAATGTAATGTAAAACTTGTTTCTTGTCATATTACTTTTCTTTTTGGCTTGTTGTTACTTTTTACATGCTCGGTTAAGTTAACAGCATAGCTGGCCTTCGCCGAGTTTAAAATAAAAGCGTTTTTATTTAATTATTTATTTATTACGCTTAAATAATATAAATGGGTTAGACTATGTTATTCCTCATAAATGGCTATATGATACAAGGCTTACTCAAGATATATTTTTTATAATAATGTACGACATACCTACTATTTGAAATCTGAATTAAAAGCTATTCGCATATGCTAAAATAGCATACATAAGTAAAATCAAATTTGAGACGTGGGATAAAAGACGAAAAATCATATTATTGATCTATTTATGTCACCTTGCAGAGATCAAAAAGGGTAATGTCAATGTGCAGTTTGTTTTGAAATCGTATCTCAAATAAATTCATAAAAAATAGAAACGATTTTGGGAAAGATCGTGCCCTTTTCGGTATATCTCTGGGCATCCTGGAAGCGTCAGAACTTTTCAAATGCATTTTCTAAAAAAAACCGACCCGTATCACTTACCTTATCAAATAGCACACTGGTGAAAATATGAAAAACTACATATTCTATAAAACTATTTTTAGCTTTTTGGCGACATTTCAAGTAATTATAGAAAGAAATGAATAAATATCAATTCAATTAAATGATTACGTTTTGGTTTAATTAAACTAGTTTCATAGATTCAAGTTAGCTGTTTTGGAAATCGGAGTATAATTAGACTTGTTAGCTTCACATAGTTGATTAAATTATAAAATTGTACTAATTAAAATTTTCATTGGTTTAATAAATTTTTTCTGTGTATATTGTTAAATATTTTTTACCACATGTACCTATGTGGTTAGTAAAGAATGAGAATAATGCGATGTTATAAGGTCATATATCCTAAACAGGTGTTCCCAAACTATTTAACAAGAAGATGAAGATTGTAATATAAGAATATCAGTACCTCCCGAAGTGCCTCAAGGAGCTTCCGTGTATTTTAGGCATATGGGAGAGGAGATGAAGTTTTATCAACTCAGAAGCACTTCAGTTGCTTGACAACTAAAAGAACTTGATCTACGGCTTTTGAGCTCGCAGACTCACTTATGCCCTAGGTACATAAACAACTATTACGGACGTGTATAGTGTTTTGTGTGGAGTAGAGCATGTTCGCTCAAGTTGTAGTCAAAAAAAAATATTTATCTCGTAAAGAAATTAACAAATCATTCCTCATACCTATTATTTTTTCCAATCCTACTATATCTTAATGGACGGTTGAGATTTCCCGTCAACGGTAAGTGTCTGTAAGGGGGCGCTTGAAGATTTAATTTACACATATTCAGTTAATAGGAGAGAGGAAGAAAGTGGTGAACAAACAGTGGAAGGTTCGTCTCGAGAGAGTCTCGCTAATCCAGATGAAAGCTCCATTGTGATAGACTAATGGAGACAGACCGTCCGTTAATGCAGTGGCGTGGTTATGGAGACAGAAAAAGATTTAGGTTGTATCAAAGATGTATCAATCTTTATATCAACATCATTTTAAACTGCAAAATTTTTTTGCTCACATCTTGCATAATGCGTCTAATATCACTTACTTAGCGACCTATATTTCATTCAGTTGGCATGATTTTTCGTAGTATTACAGTAAATTTTGCCCTTGAGCTGTCTCCGTAAGAAAAGAGGGATCAAATATGGTGGAGCAATGATCTTGCAACCAAAGCAAGATAAGGCAGCATCAGCGAGGATCCACAGCTTTGCTGATGACAGCATTCTACATGCACGGATTCAGAGTGCGGAACTACAAAGAAGAAGACTAGCTTCAACTTGATGAGAGATCTGGAGGTGATTTCTGCTTTGGGATTCAACAATCTGGTACAGTTTAATACTTCCAAAATGCAATACAGTACCTTGAATTATAAGAAGAACCTTAGCGCTTATTCAGTTTCGAAAGAGCCGTTCATTTCGGCTATACGGAGTCCAGATCACCTGGCACAAACACCTTTCTCAACCTCGTATATGAACAAGACCCAGCCTCGAGTACTGCTCACTACTTTGTCAACGCACTTTGCTTCTCAGTGCTCTCCCCCATGATGCCGCCACAATATGAGCCTGCCAGATAGGCCCGCCTGTCATCCTAACCGTGTCGAACTTCGTACATCCAGAACTGAGCGGTACAACCGCTTCTTTGTCCCTAGGCTTGAGATTGTGGAACAGTCTGCCTGGGGAGGCTTGAAATTCTACTAATCCTGGGCAGTTTAAAATCGGATTAACAAGGTGTTTTTAAGCTCCTTGTTGCAACCGCGGTGCCCCGGTGTTTTACCTTCTGTTTTCGTAGCTGCTTCGGCATAAAGAACAACTTTTGTTAAATCAGGGAATTCCTTGCAATGTGCCAAGACCTCCATAATGCTGAAACTACATCTACCTATAACCAATAGGATGATTTCTTAAATTTGAAAATGAAGTATTTGGATACCAGTCACATTTATAGCTTTAAAAAAAAATATTTATCACCATTTGTCATACCGAGGTATCATAGGGGTATCTCAGTAGCGAGGTTCATTCCAAGAAAATCTTCTGATCTAGAATAAAATAACCTTCACCCGGAAAATCAAATTTTTAACTTACCCATACAAAATAAATGATTCTGTATTTTAAAGGTGTCAAACTCTCCAAGATTTGGGCGTGTATTTTGGTTGTCAGCTCACCTTTAACTACCACATCGGTGAAATTATAAATAATGCGTGCCGCACTTATGGCTTTATTGTCAGAAATTATAGAAGCTTTAATATCACAACGTTTATTATGTTATTTTCAGTGCTTGTTATAAGTAAATAAGAAATCAGTTTTTAGAAAAAGAACAATGCAAATATTAAGGCAAAAAGAACAATGCAAATATTAAGGCAAAAAGAATGAAAATATATTCACAAATAAACAGCAGCTGTTGGCATAATCACCTGACAAGCTTTGCGACAATGTCACAGCACTGAAAACTGTTACCAACATAAAAGAACCCGGGAAATTCAAACTAACATATACGTACCAATTTAGGATCTATTTTGCATTAAGGTTAGCATTCAAATTTACTAAATATGACGTAACTGCTTCGTTTCATTGAATAAACTATAGCTATATATTATCTCTTACAATTATCTAAAAATCATATTCATATTTTTTTTCTCCCAACTTAAAGCGCTTTTCTCTTGTTTTTCATTTTCACTTTGTGGCAATCAGACTATGTAAATTAAATCACTGTACTATGTATTGCTCTCTAAGTGATATCGGGGCTCTTGGGCAATAAATGCTCTATTATAATTATATTATCAAAATATCCGTCGCGAGGTAAGCGTAATTGAACATGAGCCTGGAACTATTCATACATTACGAGATTAAAGGCCGTTCTTAACCTCTTTATTGGAGGTGATCGCGGTATCCCGGGGGTGGTTCCCATTTAATGCTAGTTCCTTATAAGCTGTTTTGGC